TTAGCATGCTCAAGTTACTATTTCTTTGTCAATAATAACATATTTTATCCATCTCTCACATCTCTAACAGACTGCTCTCTAAACCAAATAGGCGCTCGGGCAAGCTTGCTAGGAGACGGAAGAAGCTTTCTGTGTTGGTTTAAATATAAAGTAGGAGTTTCCTGACTTTGGGAAGTCTGTTTGATCCCCTTTATCCACTGCTTCTGCCAGCAGAGGCTTTCTTATTTCAGCAGGTGTTTGACTGAAGTGGGTCTTAATGGCTCATCCCTAAGGTTCTTAATTAGTGTGATTGCTTGCCTTGTCATTTTGGGTGTAGAGAGGTAAACTGGATTTTATATTTCAGTTGCTGAATATACAGGGTAGAATCCTTGCAAATGAATAAGTCAGAAATCTAGAAGACATCCCAAGCATCTCTTAAATGAACAATAAAAGTTGTCGGTCATTGGTCACTGGCCTCTGGCATCCAGGGTTAGTGAAAATAGTAATACTGTATGGAGAATCCCTGTCTTGTGCAGTAAGAGATTTCACTTTCTTTTGTTTTTCACTTTGTTTCTCATCTCAGGTTGGGTACTTTGTTTTGATTTTACACTCCTGCCAAGCTGCACAAAGTTGCTGCTTTTAATTGACGGTATATAAAATTCCCTTGGTCCATGCTAGCTACTAGATTTCGCCAAGGTTTAGCTATACTTATCTTTCCAAATTGCATTTAGTCACTTCTTCAACTTCTTCAAGTTCTTCTTCAGCCATACAATTGACTAGGAGAACAATTCCTGCCAATCTGGAAAGCTTCCTGGGTAATCATGAGTAATTCACTTGCTGTCTGCCTAACCTCCCTCTCAGGGTTGTTATAAGGATAAAAGGGAAGATATACATGCTGGTTTAAGCTCCTTGAAGAAAGGATGGGATAAGCATCTGTTGGCTAGTTGAACAGAGTGGACAATGACCATTCTACACATTAGATACAGAACTTTGCCATGAGTTAGAATTACTGTTTTTTCATTTAATATGGGCAGATAGAAGTGTACCAACTCGGGTAATAATTAACAAGGTTTTTTAATCATTTTTTTTTCTTTTAGTGATCAGGAACCTCCTTATTCGATGATGACCTTGCATGAAATGGCAGAAACAGGTATTTCCTTGTCATTGGGTGGCACTTCAGTTGCTCTCTGCTGAAAGAAACTTTTCACTCTGCAAAGAAGTAACAGAGTTTCAGTGTGTGTTTATTATGTGAGGTTGAGACAATTTATAGCAATTATTTAAATGATACCTCTACATTACTTGACAGTGAGCTTGGTAAAATAGTTATTTGTTTAATAAACATACTTGTTTAATCTGGCTAATTTATGAATTATGTTGTTGCAAAAGTCAGCCTGCCAGCTGACTTATTTTGTTTCTACTGTGATCTAGTAACTAGACCTTAAAATCCCCAAAGAAATAGCTATGTACTTTTCATTCAAATTGAAAGGGAAGTTGTTATTAAAAACTAAGGAGGCTTGCAGAAACAGGGAAAATCTCTAGTGTGTAATGATACCTCTAGACTTTTCCCAAGCTCTTGTGCATATTAAGTATTTGATTGCTTGGTGCAGTTACAAAACATCTGAATTATTCTATTGTGATGCTGCTCAGAAAAGCTCAGTTGGAGAAACTGAAAGCAGCTCATAACATTTTGCAAGCTTGGTAGCATATCTTATGGGACATAGTGTTATACCACACACAAACACACGCCTTTATACTCTGCCTTCTTTACCCAGTGCTTTTGCGATCTCCTGTATTGCATGTAACCATTCTAAATTTAAGCTGTTCTTATGGTGTTGAAAACAAAAGAGGAGCTTAAGTTAGGGTAGTCTTCATTAGGTCTTGATCTGCATTGTGCTTTGCAAAATTTCAGTCACTCATTTCTTCTCTTCTTTCTTAGGAAGGAACTAGGGGAAAGGGCCATGTTAAAACAATATCCCTGTGTAAATTGATTACAGCATTTCTTACAGAAACATAGGAGGGTTCAGATTTCCACTTTTATGACTAGCATTCATTGTGACTCAATTTCCTGTATATATCATGGAAAACATGATTGGCTGCCTCTGATTTGCTGAGGGAAGGCTGGAGAAAGAGCATGCTGGGATCTATCTGAGTATGACCTTTGGGTGCACTCCCCTGCACCCTCCCTGCCCCTGCTGCCGTTTCTACCTCCAACTTAGGGTGAAGCATTACATTTTTTATCTTTGACTCCTGCTAAAACATAATGCAGAATTTTTGGCTTTCAGATGAGGTTGAGGAAGACAATGTGTTTGAATTTTGTCTCTGCCTTGCCAAGGGCAGCTCTTAATGTAGGTTCCAGTTCCTCTCAGCTTTCTGGGTGCTTTGGACCAGTCACTCACCCAGCCCAGCCCAACTTCTACCTTACAGGATTATTGTTGTGAGTGAAAAGTAAGAGGAGGGAGCACAATGTAAGTCTCCTTGAGCTCCTGAACAAGAGGATATAAATATAACAAATAAATAAGCTGGCTTCAGCAGAAGGTGGAGATATGCATTCCCACCTCCACCCCAATACAGTAAAGAGCAAAATCTGACCCTATAAGAGTTGTAGAAACTTACTAAGAGAGTCTTGCATGTAATAAGATGCATTGTCTTCAGTGAAGAATGTTGTGCTCCACAACTGATTGTATGTGTCACATATGGAAGGTGTCAAGTTCTGCCTCCAGCACCATTTGCCAAAAGCAACTTGAGTTGCAGAATCTTATGTCTTTGCCTGCATCATTGCTGTGTTCTGTGCAAGTGAGAATTTGCCCTGGCATTTCATTCTGGAATTATGAGTATCTTTCTTGTCTCCAGGGGGCACTAATTTTGTCCTACCATTCCAGTCTGGATCAACAGCCAATTGTTTCATTTTTAACATATGTCTGAGATGATTTGTCCCATTGAATTGCTCAAATGCTGATGAAATCGTGCTTTTGATTAGTGGTATGTCTCTTCATTTCTTTATGTTGAGATATTTGCCTTTCTTATTTGGTTGACAGATGAAGGATGGCTGGAAGTTGTCCAGTCTTTAATAAGAGTTATTCCATTAGAAGACCCCTTGGGACCAGCTGTTATAACTTTACTCTTGGATGAGTGCCCATTACCAACCAAAGTAAGTTAAATATACCGATTGGTCAAATAAATAACTGAATAAATTTATAGCATGTAGCAGCAGCAGTTCTAAGGCAACTTCTGAGTCTGCTTTTTAAAAATGCAGGTCTCAAATGAATAATGATATCTCAGTGTTTTTGAATGGTAGATATTTGTCAGTTTCATACCAAAAGTATATCTTGGATAAAAGTTCAGAAGAAAACCAAAAATCAGTGAATCAAAATATGCATTCTGACAATACCTACAAAATTAACCAGTAGGTACCTTTTTAGTACAATGTGTCATCATCATAATGGTAAATAATTAAAATAATCTTTCAAGTTCTATATTATATTATTAGTTCATTTTTATTCATCTTCAGTCATTAGTTACTTGTCCAAATAGAATAAATATGTAATTTGTGCCTTTTGTAAGGTATTAATTTTTAGACTTTTTGTATCCTCTTGCTATAGACCTTATATCCATAATATTTTTCTCATAATATTAAATAATAGAAAGTGTTCCCAGTCCAATAATAAGAACCTAAGAAAACTTGCTTTCAATTTTATATTGTTTCTCTAACTTTGAAAAGCTGATAATTGTATTATAAAATGGTATAAACATTTATCCTTCTTCTGAAAAAGGAGGAAACCAATTTCAAAAACTTTCTGGAAGTCTCAGATAATCAGAATTCAGTGTGTGATTCCTAATACATGAATATGTAATTTCACAAATTCTGTGTGCGTGTTTGTGTGTGTGTGTGTGTGTTGATATATATAAAAACAAAAACAGTAGAAATTTGAAGCAGCTTCAGAATGGTTACTTTTGCTAATAATGCAATGCTAATTACATTATGTTGTGTTCTCTGTGGATATCTTATCCTTGTGTATATCTCTCATTGCTAATCTCTTGCTTCAGTATCTGAATCCACAATGATACTCAGTATAGTGATAAGGTTAGCAGACATCTTCCAGAATGGTTTGGACTTTCCAAGGTGGAACTTAAGTATATTTGCTTTACAATGCAAATGATTTGTTTTCTTGGAACATAAATATTTCCTTGAAGCATAAATGGGGAAATACGGCTTCTAGTTTTCACATGCTTAACAGTATTTCTCAGCTTCTTTGTCTTGTGATTAATAGTTAAATGGTATGAGCAACCAGTGTTCAGTGTCTTATCACCTGTACTGGAAAGTTGTAAGCAAAATCTCTCCAAAAGAGAAACCTGATATTGTTATTTCAGGGCATACTGTTTCTAACCACTTGGATCAAAGGGTTATTTCAGTTTGTGGCCTGTATGATATAGATAAGTTGCCTCGTGCAGCATCAAGATATGAGCAGAATGGAATGGAATGGAATGTTTCTTTGGGTGTTCTGACATTCAGTGGCATGTTCATTTTCCTGCTTAGGATGCATTGCAGAAGTTGACAGAAATACTAAACTTAAACGGAGCAGTGGCTCTCCAGGATGCCTGTCATCCTGCCAAGCATCGGAATACCACTGCAGTCCTGGGCTGTTTGGCAGAAAAGCTTGCAGGTAAGGAATCTGGGATGCCTTTATGTCTCTTTGGGAGATAATAACCTAGTTCTTTAGGGTTCCTCCACAAGCCACTGCTGTTTCTACATTTTCCAGCTTCAAACTCTCCCAATCTGCAATAAATAAATTGTCTGTAATTAGACATCTATTCACAGAACACCCTTCAGGTGATGTGCCAGTGTTTTAATCTCTTTAAATTAATCTGTAATCTCTAGTGCCATTTGCCAGAATGCAATACAGCTGTTTATGGGTTGTAGGAGTGAGATATTTACATATGTGTCATATCTCTACTGTTCTTCCTTTGAATCCCCCTTACAAGGCAATATGTACAGAGGGGAAGTCTAGAATTTGTTTTGTGGGGAGGAAGGTGGGAAGTCTAGAAACAGAACGTTACAACTAAATTTAACCAACATTTTTAGACTGACAGACAAGATTGGAGCTGTCCGAGATCATGTAAATCACTTTATACCTTGCTCTGTATTCTCCTGTGGTAACTTTCTCATGATACGTATTTAAGACATAATAAAAAAAGATTTTCACAGCTAAATCTCCTTTGTTGCATATTTCTTCGTTCTATAAAACAAGATAACTAGAAGGCAGTGCAGGATCTTAAGCTCTTCTGAAGAGACTTCTAAAACAATGTAAAACAGCAACTTCGATGCACGTGTTTCATTTTTAGTGTTTTTGCAGGCCCTGCAAGTGTAGGTTTACTCAGCCAAGGAATCTTGGAGTATTTACTGCAGAGCTTGGTGAGTACCAAAATAAATCAGTATTCTGAATATTTTGTGTGACCGCTGAAAGGATTTCAATGCCCTGATCTCATTTAGATGTGTCTCATAAAAAAAGAAACCACAGCATGACATCTAGCCATTGCAATTATTTTTCAGTGGCACAGTGAAGGTTGACAGGTTTCATAAAGAAGGAGAGAAGAGCCATAGTTCAGAATCAGCCTGTCTGCTTTAGACACAGACACCTCTCCAGGCCAGTCTCTACAAGGTTACTGCCAAAGTTTTCAAATGCTGCTGCTGATGCAATTAAAAATACTTTTGCTAGCTAGATGGACTAGCAGGTCAGCTCTATAAGGACATACTGAATTTTATTAAGTGAAACAATCACGTAACTACTAACATATTTGCTTGGGGGAAACATGAAAGTCATGCTCACTTGATCCACAATCCCATTTTTGCTTTCTGTGAATTTGCCTTCTATATGTAATTGTAAATACAATTTGTGAGCCGCTCTAGCTTTAGCTGTAGAGCAATATAGAAATATCAGCATTTAAACTGAACAACCTTTTCATCTTTTAAGACAGTTAAGCAACGTGGACTTAAAAACTTAAGGGAAAGTACCCTGTAAAATTATTACTTCAGTGATACTAAAAATATTTGTACATCTACTGCATTCTTTATTTTAACCATGAGATCAACTACACAGAGTCAAGTGCAGCATGGCAATATAAGGATTGCGCACTTAAAATTAAGGAACGGCTGCCTTTTTACTTTCAGCATTAGGATTGGAGTCACAGTTATTTTACGTAAAAATCCATAGCTGATTTTCTTCATTTTATCAGTATAATTTACATGGGGAGTGAGAACCTTATTGTTGTCATTAGGCATGCTAAGATTCAGAAGGGACTATTCAGAATTGTAAAGGCCTCTCCTTCTGCCTTAGCTGGAGGATGGAGAAAGATGGCTAATAATATTATTAGAGTGGGTGGGCCTGGAATTGAAATCTTAAGGCCCCTATTTACTCCTTTAGCCCTTCCCCCAAAGGGAGAAATGTATCTGATTTGGGGTGAAGGAGGTTTGAGTTGGTGCTGACATTCTGGAAGAGGTGCAGAAGAGTGCAAATGGGGTGCTGGGCTGCATGTAACCTGCCTCTGCACAAACTATGATTTGGAAGATGAGGAACTGGCTTCATTACTAGCTCCCTTCTTGCCATTTTAGTCCTCCCTTTTTGGGGGGAGGCGAGGTCCTGTAGCTAGAACTTCTGGCTTTCTTACTTGCTAAACCAGAATAGCTGTCTTTTTTCCTTCAATGTAGGAAAACAGTTTGTATCGATGCCTGAATCTCTGAAGTAAGCCTTCAGGCTATTTTTATTGTGTTAAAGAGTAATTTTTCTTACCTGTACATTGGAAAAATCAGCCAATACTTGTTTTTGAAGACAACTTTGGGGAATACTGAATCCAATAATTCCCTTTTTTTATCTTAGGAGTTCCAGTCCCATCCAACAGTCATGCTTTTTGCACTAATAGCCCTGGAGAAGTTTGCACAAACAAGTAAGTATGCTCATTTGAAACGCAGAGTTAAAAACAAAACAGATCCCAAGAGTCTACGTGGGATATTTTAGTTATTTGGAGCATTTATACAGCTGCCCAAATCAAGCAGCGTGACTTTGGGTGGCATACAAATAAACAACAACACAAAAGGAAACAGCATATACCATTAAAAACCAACCAAAGCAATAACAGGGCAACCAGAACTAAAACACACTACAGAGAGTCATCCAGAGAGCCAGTTTAGTGTAGTAATTAAGGCTTCAGGCTAGAAAATGGGAAACCGAGTTCTAGTCCTGCCTTAGGCATGAAGCCAGCTGAGTGACCTTGGGCCAATTATTCTCTTTCTGCCCTAGGAAGTAGGCAGTGGCAAACCACTTTTGAAGTCTTGCCAGAAAAACAGGGACTAGTCCAGGCAGTCACCAGGAGTCAACACTGACTTGAAGGCACCAAAAAAAAAAAAAACTACATCCAGTTGGGTCATCCTGACCCAAAGGCCTGGGGAAAGAGCCAGCCCTCAACTGCCTTTCTGAAATTCTGCAGGAACTGGATTTACCCCTTTCTTCTAAAATCCTACCTGGTTGTGGTAGAGAGTGTCAGTATCATCAGTATTCTAAGCAAGGGGGGGCCGCTCGCAGTTTGTGTGGGTGCCAAGATCCCCTTCCTGCTGTTTCTTTCACACCACTGGAGAAAGCGGGAAGGTTTGTTGAATCGGAGTATGAGCTTTGAGTCCTCAGCCACTGCTACATGTGACCTTCAGAGGGCAAAGAATCATGACAAATGTTGCCATCCGTTAGGACCTTTATGGTATATTTTCTGTCAGTTGTGGATTTCTTCCCCAAATTTCAAAGCTGCAAGGGGCCCTAGTTCATTGTCAGGAAATGGGGCAGAACTGTTGTGCTTCTGGCATTACCTTCATGGCCCGCATTCAAGCATTTGCAGATCCCAAAGGAGAAACGGACAGTAAAATCAAGATGCCACTGAGCTGAACTCAACTCCTGGGGATTGGAGCTCCTGGGCAGCTGGGGTAGTTTTCTTGGCCTCTGGGATGCCCTTGACCCTGTTTATCTGCCAGGTGCTACTGGCTACTGAGGCTTTAATGGATGGTGGAGTTTGTATAGTATGAGAAGGAGGAATATGGAAAAGAAGGAAAAAAGCACAAAACCCCTTTTCTTCTTGGAAATGTTCGGTCTTTCTCTAATGGCCAACTGCCTGTCACTAAGTCCTCTAGTGTTGCTGAGTTTCTTCTCTGATAAAACTTTCCAAGTTTTGAAAGCTGTTTACTGTGAAATGTTTAAGCATTTCCTTTTTTGTTGCCCCGCTTTTTTCATAATTGTAAACACATTCCAACTATAGGTGAGAATAAAATGACAGTTTCTGATACCTGCATCAGCGATCAGCTTGTTTTGTTAGAGAAATGGACCAATAATCCAGACTACTTAAAGCGCCAAGTTGGATTCTGTGCCCAGTGGAGTTTAGACAATTTATGTAAGTAACAGTGTTTTTCTACTGTAAAATGATCTGTGTTCGAAAACAACATGGTTATTAGCATGTCTAGTGTTTGCAGCAAAAAATAACAACCCTTAAAACTAACACATTAGATTTATAAAATAAGCTTTCATATCCATTTCACCAAATGCTTGAAGTGTAATTCCTGAGTGGTGTATGTGTGTTGCACATGCACTTACATGTGTTAGATGGGGCAGGAGGAGAGGAGAGGAAAACTGAGCAGATGCAGCCATTGATATTTATCTTAATTAGTCTGTCCATTCAGAACACAATTTATGGCGAAACACAGATATTCTTGTTTATACTGTAATAAAAGTGTATCTTTGTTGAAGACAAAACCCTGGTATTAAAACCCTTGATGAATTGTAGTTCTGGATTTTCTGGTTGAAACTGTCTTTGTAGTTCTTCTGTACAAGAATGGCCATTGTAAGGGCCAGCTAGAGAACACTACTATAGAATGGAATAATCTTCTAAGTCACTGATTTAAAGTCATCAGACTTTAGTTCTGATGCATCTGGGCTGTGCTTCAGATAAAAGG